GTGTTTGTATTTTTCCAGAGCTGTTGTAATCTATAGTTGCAACTTTTACAGATTTTAAAACATGCACACATACATACCGACATAAAACAAGCATATTGTGGCCACATTATTTACACATATGTGTTAGCAGACAGATGAACAAAACTTTTTTCCAGGAAACTGTGTCTGCTGACCAACTTAAAGGAGTAGGCTGCAGGAGCCAGGCGAGCACACAGGTGTCCCATTGAGGGCCAGGTCAGCAGATGCTGTCAGGGAGAACAGAAACTAAGGATGGAACACCTATGCAGCTCAGAGTAGGGGGCAGGGAAAATGCATCCGTTGCAGGGAGAATCCCGGTGTGATCAGATCATATGCCAGGAAAGCAAAAGTGCAGACAAACAGCAAACAGCGAGACAAGCGGGGGAAGGGAGGGAGGGAGAACAGTATCTAGAAACCATGGGCATATGGGGGTTTTGTTTACTTGACTTCATGCCGGCAAAAATTTTTAGGCATTAAGGACATTTGGTGTCAGAGAGCTCCAATTTAAAAAGACTTTGTAAAAGGCAGTCCAAGGGCATTTGGGGATCAGGCCTCAAATTGCAGATGCCCACTTCACAAGTCTATGCCAGGATCCAAAGCCTCGGGCAATGCATCCACTGTGGTAGGCTTTGAGTCAAAAAGAAAGAAAGAAAGAAAGAAAGAAAGAAAGAAAGAAAGAAAGAAAGAAGGAAGGAAGGAAGGAAGGAAGGAAGGAAGGAAGGAAGGAAAGAAGGAAAGAAGAAAGAAAGAAAGAAAGAAAGAAAGAAAGAAAGAAAGAAAGAAAGAAAGAAAGAAAGAAACCACAGGGTGGGGTGGAATGTATGTGGGAAATTCCTTTGAACAGAACATCCTCTGAGAAAGGGATCCCATAGGACAAGACAGGCCAGTGAAAAGAGAAAACACACACACACACACACACATACACACACAGGGTCTCTCTATCATCTCTCTTCAATTCTTTTCTTATCTTTTTCCAGATGTATCCCTCCTGTCTATAGTGATGTCTTTCTTCAGCTAGCTTTATTTTTTTCCCTTACAGCTTATATACCCCAGCAAAATTTTTCCAGCAATATAAAAAATTACAATGTGGTTACATTCCATTTTTCAAGTGAATGATTATAATGCATCCAAGTGAAAAAACGTTTCCTTTTTCCTTTACATGATTAAACATTTTATATATTACAGGTAAAAAAAAAAAAAAAACCAAGTCCCAAGAACCCACATACATTCATACCCAAGCAACTCATTATATATTAACAGAGTGTATGCAAGCAAGATATTTTTCTCAGCCAGTTCTTTTGCTGACAGGCTGCTTTTTTCAGTTACAAAGAAAGCAACAATCACTTTATTATTTGTCTCGAAGGATACTCTTATCAAAAAAATCTTAAAAGAATCACAAATCTAAGCTTTAATATATGAAAAACAACCAGTCAGCTCTGCTTTAAATCCTCAGAATGCATACTCATCACCTTTGGTCACCAACCCATCTTAGCAAGAAAGGCACGTCAGCCAGCAGTAGGCAGGCCTACCATTGTTCTTGCTCCCTGACCACAACAAGTACCTTGCTCAGCTATTAAAAGTATGCCTTTAAATTGTTTTTTAAGACTTTTTATCTCAAAGTCATGAGCAAAAACCTTTTAGCCTAATCTTAAGTCATTTTTTTAAAGCTTTGTCTCAGGTACGATGCATACTGAAACCTGTGAACACATCTCCCAACATTAAAATGAAAAGAACTTGAGCTTTCTAGCCTTAGCTCTTGTAGACCAGGCTGGTCTTGAACTCACAGAGATCTGCCTGCCTCAGCCTCCCGAGTGCTAGGGTTAAAGGTGTGCACCACCACCGCCAGGCTCAATTGTTCCTCTTCATCATTAACCTAAGTCACAGTCTCCACGTCTCCTCAAAAGAAACTAGTTGTGTGCCACTTCCTTGTTCTTATTTTCTATTCTCTGCAGCTCCTGCTCTATCAGGGCAAGGGCGGCATTATATCCTGCCTTTACCTGTATTATTCCTCTAAGATGGCCTCTATCATAATCTCTTACTATATTTACTAAAAACCCTTAATCACTAAAATTCTATTTAAACTAACACTATTATTGCATACAATCATTGCTTCAGTGAAACAGTACAGCTTAAGAGGAAATCATCTTCACGATAACCCACAGGTAAAGATGTTTGGTAGAAAGGGAACTGGATAGTTCCATGAGATAATCACACTACATTAAAGGCAGTGAGGATTTCTCCATACCCATTTACACCACGCCAGACTCCAGAGAAAAATGTCAGCAGCAGCAAACATGTAAAGACGCAGCAGCAGCAAGAGACATTCTGGAGCCGAAGCTTTGGGGCCTTGCCTATCCACCATTCACCCACCAGGGCTTTGCCTCCTGGTGGACTAACCTCCCAGACATCAGGTGCCACCTGCTGCTCCTCTGGCATAGCCACCATTACACCTGTTTCTACTGTCCATCAGTTTGGTCCTTTGTATACAGGGGAGATGCAGGTACTGATATTTGTCCATCAACTTTGATCCTGCCTTTTGTTTTTATTGGGGTATAAGTTTTCCTGACCCTGTGCTGTGGTTCACATTGACATTTCTTTACACAGCCTCTGTGAGGTTCACAATGTAGAGAACAATATCAAGTATGGGCCAGACACCATTATATTTAAACCATTTCTTAAGCTTTCAGACTAGACAAATCTTTAAGTTGGACTTATTTAAAGCATTGTTCTTATGGATTAAATTCCTGTATGTGTGCATGCATATATATATATATATACACATACATGTATATATAATGTCCTTGAATCTATATTTATATTCTGTCTCATTCCAGTTACAGCCCATGGTTGTGTAAGATCACAATCCTCTTCTCATTCCTTGGCTTTCTCATACATATTTTATTCCCAATCGTGTCTTTCTTTCTGATAAATTCCTTGAGAGTCTTCACACCATTGCTCTTCCTTGCTAAGAATAAGACTCATATGAAAAATAAAATAGGAGGAGTAATAATTGGGGTATTGCCCTGTGTTTCATTAAATGTGTATTTGTCTAAAAGAAACTGGAAAGAGGTGACATTTATACTGGAAACAGCATCTTTTAAGAATCTTCAAATAATCTCATCAACACATCTGCCTATATCTGCACATAGCCTGTTTCTACTTGCATAGCATTGGTGCACTCACGCTGACTTTCCACTGAGCATCACTTCCTCTGGTAGCCAACCCCTCAGGAGCAGCACTGTGTCCAAATGATGAGTTCTTTCTCACTGCTTTGCTCTCCCTGGTCGCAACAGGTGGTCAGTAGGAGTCCTCACTGTCAAGGCAGCTGGCCCAAGTCCACAGTCTGCTGTGTGGAAAGGCATCCTTATACTTGTTTTCTTATTGCTGTTGTTTTGTTTTGTCTAATTTTTGTACTTTTTAGGTTGGTGGGATTAACACAATACCACTCCTCCACATATATTAGAAGGAACCAATGCCAGTATATGATAGAAATACACATATATCCATTTTCAACATTATTTATGACAGCTATGCTATGGAGTCAGCCTATGTGCCTGATAAATGGCCAGAGAAAATATGGCGCATATGTTAATCCCACTAGTCAAGAATAAGACCACTGCCACAGTTTAAAGCCAAATTGGAAGCAAGCTTTAACTAAATACTGGCCAGTGGATAGAGTCTAGCCAGATTCATACCAAGGTTTCTGGGAAATGGCCCACGTATGGCAAGGACTTAAGAAGGAAAACCCATAATTCATTGCATTTCCCATCAAGTCCAATCAGGGGTAAGCATATATTCTGACATATTTTGATAGGGCCAAGCACTTAGGTGGGTGGAGTAGACAGAACTGAACGCTGGGAGAAAGGAGACAGGCAGGGAGAGCTGCCATGGAGCTATCAGGACAGACATGCTAAATCTTTTCTGGTAAGCCACCACCTCGTGGTGACATACAAATTAATAGAAATGGGTTAAACCAAGATGTAAGAGTTAGCCAATAAGAGGCTAGAGATAATGGGCCAGGTGGTAATTTAATTAATACAATTTCTGTGTGGTTATTTTGGGTACAAGCTAGCTAGGCGGCAGGATGCAGCCCGCCGCTCCTCATACTACACAGATGGGTCAAGCAAACTTGTTGAGGGGAGTGAAAACACATGACTTACTATCTCCCATAAACAACAACCTCCAGCATTCCAGGAACTATCGGTCCTTGGGCAAGGGGCTTGTAGATCAGAGGCATTTTTATTTCGTGGATCTCTAAGGCACAATAATTAAAACTTAAAATGTAACTTTGGCTCTCACACATACACAACGGAATATTGTTCAGCCATAAAGAAGAGTGAAATCATGTCATTTTCAGAGAAATAGGTGGGACTGAAGATCATCATGTAGGCAAAATAAGGCAGACTCAGAAAGGCGAGCATTGCATGTGAAGAATCTAGATGGAAAAAAAGACACAAAGCAGAAGGGGAATAAAAGATTTTCTTCCGCCCCCCTCCTCCCCGCCCCATAGGTTTCTTGGCTGACACAGTAAGCTGGATCAAACTGAACTGTAAAAGTATAACAACAGGTTTATTTAAAAATAAACTTTAAAAAGCAACTCCAGTTCTCCAGTCCCAAAGGTTGAGGCCAGAGAAGCAGCACCCCCGAACTAAAGCAAGGAGAACTTATAGGTTGTAGACAAGGGGTGTTGACGTGTCCAACCACAAACCAGGTTTGTGCTCAAATATGGTCAAACACTGACCGCGTAGGTGGGAGTTTGGGCTGCTGGCAGCAACAGCAGAGGAAGTTGCAGTAGTCGCCAAGAATACAGAACTAAGTTTTTTAGGTCCTTTCCTTTGTTTGGAGGCTGGGGGGTGTTTGGGGTTTAGAGGGGAGGAGAGGAACGGAGGGAGGGAGGAGGGAGAGAGGGAGGGAGGAAGGGAGCAATGGGGCTTTCAGATCATGCAGCGCTGAGCCGGAGTTCCCTACTGAACAGGGGACTCTTCAGAAAATGAGAGTCTGAGAAGTGGGAAGGGGGAATAGAGATGACAGTCATAGTGGACTGAATGTGTATAGGAAAAAGTCATTGTCATACTCATTATTACATACAATTGATATGTTAATAAAAAGAGAAAAAGCTAAAATTGTATCATTGCTTTTGCTATTATAAGCAAAATGTAAGACAACATGATTAGTAGAAAAAGTGACTTCAACAGAAATAATGCATTCACGCCAAATGTTCATTTTAGAAACCAAAACCGCAGTGGATGGGGAAAACGAGAAGACAGGTAAAATTGGTGAAAGGTTCTTACATTTCAATACCTCTATTTTTATGATTGATGCTGCAAATGTTGATTTTGAGCCCGTCCTCTGGAGAATTGGCTTTACTATATTTTAAAGGTTTTCCTGAGACCTGTTGTCAACACAGCGTGCCGGGTGTGTCTAGAATAAGCCTGAAGGAATATTATGGCAGCAAACACTCATTTCCCATCACTCCCTCCCAGAACACTCCACAGCAAGAGCCATAACTGCATTTACTTACCAAGCACTACCGCTCCTGAAATCCAAGCTTCTAAATCCCTTTTTCTTGGCGCAGCTACGTGGATTTTCTGGCGTAACTCTACCATGATTTCTGCAAGGCACAAATGATGTGGGGGAGTGCCGCTGTCAGGTGAGGCCATCCCTTTTCTCTGCCTTGTATGGACACATCCCCGGTAAGCCCAGTGTGGCGCTCCGCGTGGGTCTGGGAGGGAGGAATAACACAGGTGTTATGTGTTAGGCAAATGTGTCATAAAAGAATGGGAGCATGATTTATCTGAGAGAAGCTGGGCGTGGTGCAGAGGATCGGAGAATGTCACACAAGGGAAACACGGAGGGCTTGTGGGAAAGGAGTGGGGTCCCACGGAGAAGACAGTTCTAAACCCATGCTGGTTAAGAGGCGCTTTCTCTCCATATGCCACCCCTCTCTGTCTCTCCTTTTCTCTTCTTCCCTTCCTCCCTGCCTCCCTCCCTCTCCCACTCATACACTCACTCATTCATGCAGATGGAGAGAATGAAACTAGACAAGACCCCGGGACCTATGCCTACAGCCTGTCTTCCAGGAAGAACCACCAACTACATAATGTGCAGTCACAGCTTGGGGGTAAACGCTCCATGTTTTAAACAAAAAGAAACACGAAAGCAGCAACTGTTTAGAAATAGCATGGATTAACAGAAATAATAGGATTTTTTTTTTTTACTTCCTCACTCACATTTGAATGCTTAACATACATTTTTACATTTTGTACAGGAAAGAATTTGAAACATTAAAGGGTTGATTCTGACCCTATATCCCATTCAACTCCATCCTTGCTTTTCCGTTCACGTAAGGACCTGCCACAAACAAGTGAGAGCCAGTGAAAATCATTCCACAATATGGTTGGAGCCAGAACACGAGCCCTCTTATCCCAAAGTCTTAACTTTTAGCTCACACAATCCTTCCCTGAATCCTGGAATCCTCCACTCCCTAAATCACAGTTCCACATCCATTTCCTTGACCTGTTTAGGAAGAGGTCACAACCCTCATGTCCTCATGCCTTCAAAACATACTTCCCCTTCCTGCCTACTTTCTCCTTCCCTCACTGAGGGAGAGGCAGGGGCCAGGGAGGGAGGCCTGGGGAAGGAAGAGGAGCGTGCTCGAGGTGAAAATTCAACCACAGATTCTGCTAAGCAATGCCTCAGCACTTCTGCTCAGGCTCAGCCTGCTGACTCCAACAGGCCGTGCCTCGGTCTTGCTGACACACGTTTCCCCCTCTCTTGCCTCCCAGGGCTGTCTTCCCTGTTCCCTGATCTCATTAGGAAATAATGCCGGGCACCATGTGGGTGTGATTTCTCTGAAAGTTCACCTATCTAGCTGCTGTAACATTCTTGTACATGACAGACAACAGTTGAGTAAAGGTTTATGTCAGAAGCATTTTCACTGAATAACCACAACTATCTCCATTTGTTGCCTACTGTAGAAAGTAAGTCTGGGGCTGGGCTTGTTTCAATACTTTAGATAGCAGGCTACCTATTCTCTAAGTTTATGGATACTTTCTTCCAGAATTTTCTCTTAATACTCAAAAGATATCCAAATTTTATATGTATGTATTCACTATTTATTTCCCAAAGCAAAAGATTTCTTTTTAATTCACATATTTAATGTATTTTTCTACATGTACTTAGAAAACTTGTACTATATTAGTAGTTTTCAGCTTCTTCTTTTGCCCCATTCATTATAACTTATACTTACGGGAGAGATTATTTCTTAAGCGATATCATTACTCTGTGCCTCTGTAGACCCTTCTGTCCTCTTCAGTAGTGAAACTGAAGCGCTCAGGTTTGCCCTCCTTATCGACCAGTCTTCCTGCGCTGGCACTTGTCCTTCGTGGTTTCTGTAATGAATATTTTGGTTTTGCTGTAAAGGGTCTAATGTTCAGAGTTTTCTAACCTCACAGAGCTGACAGCCCAGCTCCTGCTATTATGTCACCTTCCTTTCCATAATTGTTTACAGCCCGTTTGCGGTTAAAGAATCTGGAGCCACATTTAGGAAGACAAAACATTCAAACAAAATGCTTGCCCCTCCCCCGTTGGGGGAGTTATTTCATGCCGACATTCCTTTTTTCGTGCATCAATAGCTCACATATATAATGCCCTTTCTTATTCACTCAGTCGGTGTGGGTGTGTGCATGTGTGTGCAAGTGTGCACACATGTGTGCACATCTGTGTGTGTGCTTACTACATCATATTTACACATGAAGGATATTCCGAATAGCACCCCTTCTCAACTCTAGTCTCCAGAAGTGCCTTACATGGATACAGTTAAGCCGAGTCCCATCCATGTGTTTTTTACATGCTCAACTTATGGAATATTTGGATATTTACAAGTCATTTCTATTCTCTGCAGAAGATGTGCTCATATTCTATTTATTCTATACCCCTGATCAGCTATTGATATCATCTCCAAAGAGACTTTGTAGTGATTGCTTTCAAACAAAAGACACGTTCAAACAAGACATGCAAATTTTCAGGCTTATTAGTAAGTGTAGGTACAGACATTTATTTCTAAAACTGAGTAGAGAGCTCCATTAAGGAATGCCGAACATGCACTAAAGGGTGCCTGAAAGATGTGGCATCATGAAACACTGACAGTAACACAGGAATACCACATAGTCCTATGGGGCAGCAATTGTTGAAAGATCTAATCACACTCTAAAAGAGATGCTTATAAAACAAAAGGTGGGTATGAGGTCTCCCGGAGATGGATAACATAATGCTTTACTAACTTTAAATCTTTCAAATGCTAATGAAGCAGGGGTAACAGCTACTGGAAGGCATTGGACTGCAGGAAAAGCTGCTGAGTCAGTCTGTGTAGTACAAGGATGTTTTGACAGCAGAATGAAATTAAGGAAGGTGTTATGTTGACGCTGAGGTTGCGCTTATGTTTCTGCAGAGCTGTGGATACCATTGAAACGAATGGAACTTAGACATGAGCAAGGAAAGTCCCCTGGATGCCTTAGCTGCTGACAAGGCTAACACAAGTCTGGGGAAAAAGAAAGCCTCTGAAGCAGACAGCTGATTTGAGAAGCAATAATTTGGCTGACTAGGGAGCCTTTGAATGCTACAACCCTGGTCCTTGCTATGCTGTCTGAATCAATCATAGTGGGCTTCTATCCCCATCCTCTAGTTAACAAAGGGGTAAGTTGGAAAGATATGGATATTCCTGTTGTAATCAATGACTTCTCTTGGTTACCTGGTCCTTATGACCACAGAGGGCCTGCTAAGCCTGAGGAAGAGGGTAAGGAAATCATAAATTATCCTGTGAGAATGCAAGCAATTCCTATGTGTATGGGTAATGGGACTCACTGTCTACATATAACTTTTCAAATCTGGTTATCAATAGTTAATCATAATACTAACCAGGATTTTCATAATACACTTTGCATGCGCTATGCATCTGGTTTTAGAGGGCAGGAGATTAATGCTACTAGTTCCATAAATCTGCCATTCTGTGAGACGTGGGTTCCCAACAAGGAGTCCTACGGGGTACACTGGCAACAATGTAAAGGTGAGAAACCGCGAGTGCTTATTAAAAGCTCCCATGGAGGCATCCTTGACTGGAGCCTTTACAGCGCTCCTCAAGGAAAATATTCTCACTCAGAATTAAGATGGCACTGGGATAGTTTGCATAAACTGTGAAAATTAGCTCCACTGTTATTGAACCTATCCAATGGCATGGAGTCAGGATGTCAGGCCCTATGCTACAGTTTGGTAATTCAGTTCAGACTAATTTGTGGACATTGGCAGGTACCTTACACCCTCTTAAAGTGTGGAAAGGAAAGTTAAACATTACTGATGGTAAGTATACCTTGTCCTTTAGATTAAAGCCACATCTTTGGTGCATGTGCACCATTACCTTATATATTATTGAAAGGGCCTATACAATGACACCCTAATAACCATAGCATCACTTGTGAATGGTGTGCTCTTTTTTCGTACCTGTATTAATGCTAGTATTTTATTGGATGCTACTTCTGAAAGTTTATATATTCTTAGAGCAAGACCAGCAGTCTGGATGCCGGGGAAGCTGTCGAAGCCATGACAAGACCCATCTGTGCTGATTCTAGTCCAGAAGCTCACTGAAAGCACATGAAGATGAACTCATTGGATGATTTGAGTCATCATTGCTGTGGTTATGGGAATTATTGCTTTGACTGCTGCCACTGCAACAGCTGGATTCCTCATAAAGAAATGCAAACTGCTGAGGTTGTTAGACTGACATCAGCATGCTGCAGAACTTTGGGCTCGACAGAATAAAATAGCTAGTGAGATCGTTGATGAAACAGACGGCTTGAGACAAGCTGTGCTACTTTCAGGAGAAAGAGACTTTGAAAGAACAAATTAAACTAAAATGTGATCGGACTATTACATCTTATTCTGTGAAGGTTTAATGAAAGCAAGTACAATTGGGGAAAAGTTAAAATGCATTTGTTGACTCACCCTAATTCTTCTCAAATGATGTATGATTGACAACAAGAAAATATGAAAACTTTTTCTAATAAGTTGCCCGATGTATATCTGGGGTGGATGTGACGGCAAGCCTTGCAGATACCATAGCTTCATTTAATCCTATGAATCATTTTAATAGATTTCTCATCCTAGTGATTGTTATACTGGTTTTGGACTGTGATAACTTTACTGGCTTTGAAACATATTCTTGTTAGACTACATAAAAATGTGAAACAACATGATAGAGAAAAGAAAACAGATATTCACTGTGTTAACTAGCAGTTCACAGTGCCATCAGAAACCAAACTCACGTCACATGAGAAACCCTCCTTTTAGTTACTGATTAGGGTCATCCAGGAAACTTACAAACCATTAGAAGCTATAGCTATTATCCTTGGTTGCCCCCACCCCAGAGGTGGAAGTCCCTATTGCTGAAGAGACCACACACTTCAGACACAGGGTCCAGAGGCCCCTGAGTTGAATCTGAGCTGAAGTCCTCCCTGAGGACTAGCTTTTATGGTACCAGAGGGCCATGCAAGCTTTCAAAGGATGGAAGCAACCAATGAACCACAAAAAGGATCAGCATGGCAGAATAACCTAAGGGTGCCGTAGTGGCGTGCACACTTTGGCAGTAACCAAGAGCTCTCTAATTGGATCTAAAATTCATTCAACCAGAGGTAAACCATGCCTGGTACTGGCCACCTAGTCAACTGTCCACGGCTGGTGAAGTTAGGGATCTTACAAGACTATAGCTGTTACTTCTCTACACCAGCACACTCCCTAATTACGTTCTAAATATTTGTCCTTATATCCACAGGTAAGTGTCGTCCTCACCCCTCCTCAAGGAAGCATCTCTTTGAGACAGATCGAGACTGTAGAGACCATTACAGCAAACCACAACCAATCAAAATGCAGAGTTGTGGAGCCTGTTCCCTAAAGACTGGCTCAGGGTCTCTGAACCCAGATGTTAGGTGACTTCTGGATCAGCAAGTCCACAGGATTCTTGAAGCTTCTTTTTTAAATAGCTACATTTTAAAATACACTTTTTATTTTCAATTAAAGTATGACTGCATCTTTCTCCCTCTCCCCCGTCTTCCCCCTTTCTCCTTTTAACCTTTCCGTATATTTTAATTGTATTCCATTGAATGATCATTCTAAATTTTATGGAAATTTTTTTTCTTTGATACATACTTGTTTTAAATTTTTCATTGTTGTAAAAAGTACATATTTATATTTTAACATATGCCTGCTTATTTCCTTAGAATCTGTGTCTATGAATGAATTCTTAAGTAGCTTTGACTTGCACATGTAATCGTATGCTACAAGCCGCAACATTATACAGTAATTGCTTAGTCATCTTTTCATGAGCGACTTATCAGAACCAAGGGATCTGGTAAAGGCTAAACCGAAAGTCAAGGCTTTTTGGTGTGATTGCTTTGTGAATAAAGTGACTGTCATTTGCTGTAGATTTTTCACTGTAGCTGACTTCCTTTCTGTTACGTATTTGGGGATTAAATATCCACAGTTTAGAACTGTTTAGTGAGAACAGTTTCCCACTGCCAGGCCTTGCTTCTCTCTCCTAGGTAAGCGCAGAAATCTGCCTTCCTGCAATTATCTTTATCAGCAGGCATTTGGGTCCAGGCATAGAGCATCCCACTGAAGGTATTCACAGATCTCCAAGGATGTAGAATTACTGCCTGTCCAAGCTGCTCTGGTTTTACCCCACAACACCCACGATCAGAACAATTGATAACAGTATAGTCTGGAACTGATAATTTAGAGGCCTGGGTTTCTTCTTTGTTTCAAGCAGTAAGTCTAACTCCAGACCTAGGCCCGCAGGACTACAGTGTCTGGTGTATGTGCTATCTGATCAAAAGCCATCAACTTCCCCTTGGTTGCCTAGTTACCTCTCAGCCTCTCTGCATACTGGGAGAAAAGAAGTAGTGTGCTGATTTAAACAATCTATGCCCTATTCATAATTCTACCGAAAATAAACTCTTTAGCTCTTTACTAACCACCTAAAGATGAAGTGTAGAGCACACCCCTTCCCCTCTAAAATTTTCTCATGTTTTAATTCCTCTCTGAACTAACTTTTCCCCATTAAGGAGTTCATCGAACGTGTACTAGCCACTCCCGTGTGTGTGTGTGTCTGTGTTGTGTGTGTGTGTGTGTGTGTGTGTGTGTGTGTGTGTGTGTGAAAACTCTTACCTGATTTTCTGTGGGGCAAAAGAATTCCAGCCCTGGAACCTGCTAGGGCTGGGAAATTGCTGGTTTTAGGGGTATATATGACTGGGACCATTTGTAGTGAGGAGGACTAGAAGGAACAATATAGAACTAAGAACCATGTAGACCCAGAACAATGTTGAGCAAGTAGAGCAAGTAATGG